TTAAAATTTTAAAAACAAAAACTTCAGAAAATGATGCTGAATGAAGTGATTATTGATTAAAAAGTTAAAATAGATTCCTCATACAATACCTGCATTAAAAAAAATTCCAGATATATTAAAGACCCAATTGTGAAAAGGAGAACTAGTAGAAAAAATATAGGGGAATCTTTTCTATGTTGTATCACGGTAGGGAAGGATGTTTTAAAAATGAGAGCCAGAAAGCATAAATATTACAGGAAGAGATTGCTGTTGTTCCGTTACTAAGTTGTGTCTGACTCTGCAACCCTATGGACTGCAGCATGTCAGGCCCACCTTACCATCTACTGGAGTTTGCCCAAGTTCATGTTCTTTGAATCAGTGATTCTATCCAACCGTCTCAGCCTCTGCCACCCTCTTCTTTTGCCCTCTTTCTTTCCCAGCATCAGGGTCTTTTCCAGTGAGTCAAATCTTCGCTTCAGCTGGCCAAAGTATTGGAGCTTCAGCTTCAGTCTTTCCAATGAATGTTCAGGGTTGATTTTCTTTAGAATTGACCGGGTTGATCTCCTTGCAGTCCAAGCGATTCCTCAGAGTCTTCTCCAGCACCGCAGTTCAAAAGCATAAATTCTTCAGTACTCAGCCTATTTTATTGTGCAACTGTCAGATCCCTGATGACTATCAGAAAGATCATAGCTTTGACTATATGGACCTTTGTCGGCAAAATGATGTCTTTGCTTTTTAAATATGGCATCTAGGTTTGTTGTAATTTTCCTTTCAAGAAGCAAGCAGCTTCTAATTTCATGGCTGCAGTCACCATCTACAGTGATTTTGGAGCCCAAGAAGAGGAAATCTGTCACTGCTTCCACTATTTCCCCTTCTATTTTCCATGAAGTGATTGGGCCAGGTGCCATGATCTTTGTTTTTTTTAAATGTTGAATCTTAAGCCAGCTTTTTCACTCTTCTCTTTCACCTTCATCAAGAGGCTTGTTAGTTCCTCTTTGCTTTCTGCGTAAGGGTGGTGTCATCTGCATATCTGAGGTTATTGATAGTCCCGGCAGTCTTGACTCTAGCTTGTAACTCATCCAGCCCGGCATGTCACATGATGTATTCTGCATATGTTTAATAAGCAGGACGACAATATACAGCCTTGTCGTACTCCTTTCCCAGTTTTGAACTGGTCAGTTGTTCCATGAAAGGTTCTAAGTGTTGCTTCTTGACTTGCATACAGGTGTCTCAGGAGGAAGGAGGGATGGCACGGGGTAGGGGATATACAGTAATAAAAGACAAAGAATCTGAAGAGGTGAAGGACAGGAAGTTCAAATGGCCAATGAAACATGAAAGTTGCTTAACCTTACTGTCATCAAAAATGTAAATTAAAATTATAGTAAGTTTATAAAGCTACAGTCATTTCACACTGTTATTTAATTGGCAAAAGTGTTAAATTTGATAGTAACTATAGTAACTTACTGAACATTTATTGTGTGTAAATGCTTCCTGGTGTGTAACTTACTTATTCCTCATACTGTCATATGAGATTGATAATAACGCTGCTTTTATAGATGAGGAAACCAAATTAGAAGTTAAAGTTACCCCGTTAGAAAGTGGTAGAGGGAGAATTTGAACCCAAGCAACTGACTCTAGACCCCAGGGAATTTAATACCATGCCAGATGTTGTAGTGTAAAGTGGTTAGTTAGAAAGATTATGGAAACAGGTTACGTTTCAAGTAATCTGTGAGATCTTGGGTAAGTTACTTAATCTCTCATTTTCTGATTTTGGGCACCTACCTTTTTTTCTTTTAATACTAAGAAGATTTTAAAAATCATTTATATTTTTGGTTATGCTGGATCTTCATTGCTGCAAGGTGACTGTCTCTAGTTTTCAGAGAATAGGGTGGGGGCTATTCTGGTTGCAGTGTGCAGGCTTCTTGTAGTGCCTTCTCTTGTTTCTATGCACAGGCTCTAGGGGCACAGGCTGAGTAACTGCAGAAAGAGGAGCCTGGCAGGCTACAGTCCATAGGGTGCAAAGAGTCGGACACAACTGAAGTGACTTATCACACACGTGGGCCTGCAGTGTGCTTAGGTATCAGTAAATTCTCATACCTATTGCCAAGGAGCTATGCACCAGAGATGTTCATTGCAACACTGTATTAACTGGAGGCAACCTTAGTGCCTAGCAACTAAAAAATGGATGAACAAATTATACTATTTTTATACCACACAATAGTATAGGGTAGATTTTTGTAAAAATGAACTATAGTCACAGGGGTGAACATAGATAGAGCTTGATGATAATTAATAAAAGTAGTCTGTAGAAGGACATATATATATATACATTGTGGTGCCATTCATATAAAGTATAAAAACATGGAAAAAAGCCTAGAAGGGATGGGGTGGCAGATGGGAGGGAGATTCTGGAGGGAGGACATATGTATACTTATGGCTGATTCAGATTGATGTATGGCAGAAACCAACACAATATTGTAAAGCAGTTATCCTCCAGATAAAAATAAATTTAAAAGGAACATGGAAAAGAAAGTACAATCCTTCATTGAATGTAAGATTACACAGATTTTTTAAGGTGTACCGTTATTTTAGTAATCATTAAAAAATATCACCATGAAACCATGGTATGCCATCAGAATTAAAATAACCTACCAATTTAAGAGGTGTTAAAAATGTGAAAACAGTGTGCCTCTTAAAATAGATAAGCTGTGATGTATTGTTTGTGGGTTTTTTGGTTAACCTATGAATATACAAAATGTATAGTAATAAAAAGGCTAGTATTATCTCTGTGGTAGAAGTCAGGGGAATGGAATTTGGAGGGGAATACACAGGAATGTCTGTGATATTTTCTTTGCTTAAGATAAAGGCTACGTGAAATAAAAATAGCAAAGAGTTTAAGACTCATAAAAGTTGGGTTGAAAATGCATGGGTTTACTTATCCATTTTTTCTGTGTGGCTGAAAATGTTAAGCCCTTTTTAAAGAAATTGGTGGTAAGAAAGAGTAGTTAAGTATAAAGTGGATAAGTTTGGCTTGAACGATGACAGGAAAACACATATCTGTGAAGGTTTTTGTTTGAGAAATGCTGCAGGTATCCTTTGCTGTCTGAATTCTAGCTATATCAATGAAGGAATGGAGTATATTCTCTTAGATTTTCAAATAAATGCCTTTTTTTTTTAATCTGAAACTTTGATCCAAGTAGATAACTCAGACAATATGCAGTTGCTCTCCAAATTTAAGAATCTCTTATATTCAGGTAGTAAGACATACTTTATTTTTCTCTCTCTCTTTTAGAAAACACATTTTATCTTTTAAAATATTTTTTTGGCTGTGCCATGCAGCATGTGGGATCTTAGTCCCTCCAACAAGAAATCAAACTAATGCCCTCTGGCTTTGGAAACACAGAATCTTAATTAACCATTGGACTGTCAGGAAAGTCCTGTGAGATACTTTGACTTGAATTTGTAAGCCCATAGAGAAGAGACTGAAAATACAAAAAATATAAGTTCCTGAAAGGGAAGCACTAAGATCTAGAGTATAGATAAAGGAATTCACTTTGGATAAGAGTTGCTAACTTTAAAATAATGGGATAAAAATAGATTTGAATATAGAAACATTTTTAGATATGGGTGTGAAATTGACCAAATTCCAGCCCAGTAGTCTCAGTTCAGTGTGAGAGATATGAGGAAAGGTCAGAATCAACTGAGAGGTGAGAAAACATGGTTAGCAGTGGTTGGCTTTTGTTGTTGAGATTTTATATCTTTTATCAGTAGAAGTTACTGTCATTTGAGATACATTTTTATTTTTTTTATTTTATTTTATTTTAAATAAAAAGTTTTATTGGAGAAAAATAGAACCACCACGTACACAGGGAAAAGAGCACAAAAATTCAACTGATACAGAACTGAAAGTCACAACTACCCAATGTTGTTTGTGATTACTTTTCAATTTCTTAAATGGCTTCCCTCAATTTTTTAAATAGCCTTGCCAATTTTCAGCTGAAATAGAATCAAGTTTTCAAAAAATTAAGAGCCTCAGCGAAGGGACCAGCTTCTAGGATAACAAAGGTGACACCAAGAGTCTTAGAATAGGACCAATTCTACCGAAAAATTCCTGAAGCACATAACTACTGAGTCTGGTAGAACAGTAGCTCAGAGACCATCAGGGATTAGTTAGAACACTGACTCACACGGTCCAGTATGCAGAGAGGGCAAACAAAAAAGCTGCATTTCCCTGTCAGATGAGTTCACGTAAGAAAACCAAGGAGGTGCTAAGAAAATACAGGCAATGGCTGCTCAAAATAATTAAGGAGGCATTCTAAATATCACATATTATTAGACAACAGTGTGTAAAGTGATGCAATTAGAAAACAGGCAACTTAAAAAAAATATGGTCACAAGTCTTTGAGGACTCAAGAAAACAATCAATAGCAAACACAAGAGCTGAAAGTCTTCTCAGCTGAGGGGTGAAAGTGAAAGTGAAGTCGCTCAGTCATATCCAACTCTTTGCGACCCTGTGGACTGTAGCCCACCAGGCTCCTCCGTCCATGGGATTCTCCAGGCAAGAATACTGGAGTGGGTTGCCATTTCCTTCTCCATGAAATACATTTTTAAAAATTACTTGGCCTTTGCAGAGATCACAAGATTTACTGAGTATTTTTAATATACTAGACTGTGGACTGTTTCTGTAATACCTGAATTTTGAGATCTATCATACAGTCTCAGGCTACTTCCCTAATCTGTCTTTTCCAGATAGGAAAAAAAATTGCCAACACATAAGAATGTTTCAAAGTTTATAAGTATTTTATGTTCTGTTTTGCTTTTCATGTAGATATCTTATATTGAAGAAATTATTGTAGTCTAATCTTCATTGTTCATTTTAAGTCTTACACTCTTTTTTTTTAACATAGAAATCTGCTTCTCTCTAATTATTCCTTATAATTAAATACAGGTTACTTTGGAACTTATGTACACAAGTACAGAGCATTCTTTACTTTTATTAATTATCCCTTTTTTAATTTTAGAGCTGAACGACAAAGGAATGAAGCACTATATAATGCTGAAGAGCTCAGTAAAGCTTTCCAACATTATAAAGAAAAAGTGGCTGAAAAATTGGAAAAGGTAAGAGGCAATTGTGCAAATTCAGTGCTTTGTATTGTCCATGTTCTGAAAATAAAGATAGACATAAAATATCTTTATCTATAGTTAAAGCAAGGAGTAATTTTTATGGTCTCATTCATAATAATTGAAATAAAGAATGTATAATGATTAGTTAATATAATATTTACATTCTTATAATGATCACTAACTTCCTTATCCAAAGAAGGAAAAGAGTGGAGATAAGAGAACAAACAAAATATAGAGAAAGATGAGATGAGTGAACAGTTTGGAGCTATAGAAGTAAAAGCAGGAAATTTGTTCCCATCACCTCAGTGAAAATGAAGGCAGAGTAGATTATGTAGCCCTTCATTGGTCTCTAGATAGAACACCCTGAGAGGCGCTCCACTTCTGTCTCAGAGGAAGTTTCTTTGAACAGGTTCTACATATTAATATAGGGTTTAATTACATTCATTGAATATATTCAAGTAATACCACATGACAATAAACCTCTTTGGAGGGAGGTCATGTTGGACATTCAGATAAATTCTTTATATCCTTAAACTAATATTTATAGATTCTGTTCAAAGAAAGGTAGAAAGGGAAGAAATAATAACAATTAAAAGAATTAAGATTCCATTAGATACTGAAGTTTTAAGTGTGAATTAATAAGATCACTGTTTTGAAAGCCTTAGAAAAGTTCCCTGTGGGAAAGAAATACTGTAGAAAGGATTTTTTTTTTTTTTTTTTGCCATACCACATGGCTTGTGGGATCTCAGTTCCCCAACCAAGGGTTGAACCCAGGCCCCTTGGCAGTGATATCATGGAATCCTAACCATAGGACTGCCAGGGAATTTTTAATAAGGTGATCTGGAGGGGGAGGTAGAATCCTTAGTATGGGAAATATCCTCCTGGAGAGGGAGGACTTTATAGAAGAAAGAGGAGAATGGAAGAGATTAGTTTTTTGACACGTCTCCTCAGGATTGTTGATTTCACAACTGCTCAGCATAGCCCTAGAATCTAACAAAGGAACTGGGGCTGATCTGTCCAGTCCTCTACTCTAACTGCTCAAATCTGGCTGTTTGACATTTTATATCTTTTTAAGTTTGGGGCTGTGATTTCATTGGGAGTATTCTGTGGCTAAAATTGCAAAAATTGCTTCTCTGGAACATTTGCCTTTGGTAACTTAATGTTACTGAAGTTAGTAACGTTACCTTTTAGTAACAGTGTATCTTGCCTTGTCAGGTTGCTTGCCTTGTCCACATAAGACCAACACAGTTCTGCTTATAGATAATAGTGCTATTGTCCTCTCTTGAAGCTGTTAACTATTTCTGGATAGGTGTTAATATTCCCCCTCTCTGTTCTTTGTTGCTAGAAGTTCACTTTCTTCCTTTCACTACAAGGTTGGGGACTTAACCTGTGGAGTACTTACTCCATTCTCCTGCTTATCTCTGAAATCACTGCATTTGAAATACCTAAAACTTATGACCACATTAATATGTCGACTTAAAACAGATTATTGTTTTAGGTTCAAGCTGAAGAAGAAATATTAGAGAAAAATCTAATTAATTGTGAAAAAGAAAATAAAAGGCTACAGGAAAAGTGTGGTCTGTATAAAAATGAACTTGAAATTCTAAAAGGGAAATTAAGGTACAGTATCCTATTATAGAAAAAGGATTTTTTGTGTGAAAGTAGAGGAAAAACTGAAATATTCAAAAATAGAATATTTTTTATTCTGTAATTATGGCTTTAAATTATGTAGAAAGATAGGCATTCATAACTGAGATTGTTTTCTACTTGTAAGATTAAGGTTATCAATGAATAAAACATGTGTTGATGTTAACATCCTTAAATAGAGTAGTATGATCAACATATTTGCCTTGCATACATATAGAAAAAATTAACATAGACCTAATGTTCTTGTAATGTGACCACATCAGCTAGTTAGTAGAATATATATTCTTCAGATTAGGAGGAATCACCTACTTTAACCTTCTCATTTCAGGGTGTAAAAAAACGTGAAAAAGGGAACTGATGAAATTCAGTTACAGTTCTAAAATTAGATTACTGTAATGTTTGACATGTTTATATATATTAAAAATAATGCTGCATAATAATCTTATTAATAGTTAATTCAATTTTACCTTTTAGAGTTGTGGCTAATAGTTCATGATTTTTCCTTATACTTTCTAAAACTTGATGCTGAAAAATATCGCGTTAGGATTTTGGAATTACTCTCCTGTCATACACTTTTTAAAAGGGAGCAGAAATGCCTCCAAAATAGTGGAGTTATTCTGTCCAATTACTGTGAAACACTGGGCAAGTTTCCATCTTTCTTTGCCTCATTTTCCTTATCTTTAATCAGGGAGTAACAATAGTACCAGCCACATAAAGTTGTGAGTGCCTAACATTCAGAAGATAGGCACTCAGTAAATGTGAGCAGATTTCAGGACTAAGCTTTAAAATATCTTAAAAGTGAGATTGATTAACATGATTATTGAAAGTGAATGTATAATTTTCATTTTTATGCTTTTTTCTTCATAGGCAGTTAAAAGAAGAAAATAATAATGGGAAAGAAAAATTAAGGATCATGGCAGTGAAAAATTCAGAAGTCATGGCACAACTAACTGAATCTAGACAAAGTATTCTGAAGCTAGAGAGTGACTTAGAGGACAAAGATGAAATACTTAGAGAAAAATTTTCTCTAATGAATGAAAACCGAGAATTAAAAGTTCGTATTGCAACACAGAATGAGAGACTGGATTTGTGTCAGCAGGAAATAGAAAGTTCAAGGGTAGAACTGAGAAGTTTGGAAAAAATTATGTCCCAGTTGCCTGTAAGTATGTGACAAGGAAAATTTTACCTATGTGCTTTGTAAGAGATCATAATTTTGTTGTTGCTTTATTACCTTCCATTTTTTTCCTTATGTACCTGCTTTCAGTCATCAGTTCTTTTCTATCTCATCCTTTTTTCTTTTCTAAACTTACCTTTCTACTGTTCTATCCTGTCTCGGTCTCTTTTATGCCATGTATAAGAATGCCATCGAATTTCTTGAAACAGTTTTATTAAAGGAACTTTTATATATCATGATATTCACCTATCTTAAGTATACTATTCAGTGATTTTTAGTAAATCTACAAGTATGGAAACAATCATCACAATCCAGTTTTCATACATTTCTATTCCCCCAGAGGCCCCTTGTGCCCATTTGTAATTAGTCCCTGTACTGTGATGCTGTGAAAGATTGAAGGCAGGAGGAGAAAGGGGACACAGAGGATGAGATGATTGGATGGCATCACTGACTCAATGGACATGAGTTTGAGCAAACTCCAGGAGATGGTACCCTGTAAAAGGAAATGGCAACCCACTCCAATGTTCTTGCCTGAAAAATCCCATGGACAGAGGAGCCTGATGGGCACAGTCCACGGGATTGCACAGACATGGGGTCGGGTACAACTTAGCATCTGAACAACAACCCATCCCCACTCCTAGGGGATCCACTCTTCTGCCTCAAGATTTGTCTTTTCTGGACATTTCATATAACTGAATTATACAATATGTGGTCTTTTGCATTCTTAATGTTTTTGAGGATCTTTCATTGTGATGTATATCAGTATTTCATTTCTTTCTTTTGTTTAATCCTATTCCTTTTTATGGATCTGCCACATTTATTCATTCACCAATAGGTGGACGTTTGGGTTTTTTCCCCTTTTGGACTATTATAAACAATGCTGTTTTGAATATTTGCTTACAAGTCTTCACCACAGGTTTCTCTTGAGTAGATACCTAGAAGTAGATTTGCTGAGTCATGTGGTAAATTTATGCCAAATTGTTTTCCAGAGTGGCTGCACCACTTTAATTCTCACCAGCAATATATGAGGATTTCTGTTTCTCTGCATCTTAGCCAGCATTATTGCCTTATTCTTGTCTGTCTTTGATTACAGCCATCTTAACGAGTATTAATTGATATCACACGGTGGTTTTAATGTTCATTTCCCTGTTGACTGTTGAACAGCTTTTCATATACCTTTTAGAATTGTTTTTATGGTAGCATGTGGCCACCTTTTCTCTGAGTTATATATATATGACCATATTTATGAATGAGGTTAGGAAGAAAATAAGTATACTTGTATCAGAAATTTGTTATTGATAGGTGTAAAATAAAGGTGAGATCAGGAGAAAAGGTATAGATAAATGTGTCATGGTTGGTTTTACATATGAATGGATGGTAGATTTTTACCAGTTTTAAACTGTCATGGATTTAGGACACTGAAAGAGACCTTAGTAGTCATTCAATTCAGTACCATCATTTTATTGGTGAAGAAATGTACCCAAATAAGTAAATAATTTATCCTGCTAGTGAGTGGCAGAATTAAAACCAGAACATGGAATTCTTGGTTCCCATCCCCCTGCAATATCTACTTTCCTATGATGCTGATTATTTGCTTACATTTTTAATTGTACTGATTATTTGTGAAATTTGGTAATAATAAAATACAGGTAGCATTCATTTTAAATTGATGCTTTCATTTAACTTAATATTAAGAATTACCTGATATGTGGTTCTGAAAGTCAAATGGTAATACATGCTTGATCATCCTATGTAACATGGTTTGGAAATGTGAATTTAGAAAAATTTTTCTATTTCTAAAAAGTGTGATTTGGTTATAGTTTGAAGGTAGTAGTCATTAAGTGCTTACCTTGCCCTTTTAACAACTAATTTTTAAAATTCTCTATTCAAAACATACAGCATACATACAGAGATCAATGTAGTACATTTGCTAAATCTGGGAAATATTTTGATATCTACTGCAGAATAAAATCTTTTAGAAAGATAGAACCTCATTATATATTTTATTAATCCCGATTCTCTTCTCTACTCAGAGGTAGCCACGGTTCTGAAATTCATATGTATCCTTCTTGTCCATATTTTAGATATTGCCCCATACAGATATATCCAGGAAAAAAAATAGAGTTTAGTGCATTTTTGAAAATACTATATATGCCTCTGTTTTTCATTCCATGTTGTTATGAAATATCTCCATAATGATTTATATAATACAGATATAACTATTATAGTTTTCCCATTAGTATTTTATAATGTATAATAAATTTATACATTTATACATTCTATTGATGGCTGTTAGATTATTTCTGGCCATGAAATTTTTCAGACTTGAAGTTCTACATAAAATTGATTATGTCATAGGTATTATAAGTTTATATATCTTTGTTTTTAAACTTGCAGTTAAAAAGAGAAATATTTGGTTTTAAATCACCTCTTCCTAAGCACCAGATGAGTAGTTTGTCAAATAAGCAAGACAGTTACATTGGCTGCTGCGAGACAAATAAAATGGTGATTTCGGAATTGAGGTATGGTTTTCAGATCCTGAAGTTGTAGCAAATACAGTGTTTTTTAAAAATTGGTAATTAAGATCTTTGATTAAATTGAAAAATATGCAGAGAAGTCTAGAGAATGTTTTAACAAATATCTATATTTCCACATGAGTTTGAGCAAGCTCTGGGAGTTGGTGGTGGACAGGAAAGCCTGACGTGCTGCCGTCTATGGGGTTGCAAAGAGTCAGACAGGACTGTTTGACTGAACTGGTATTTCCACAATGAAGAGTTGATTCTTCTTAACATTTTTTGATACTTTTTTTCATATCTGTTTCTTTAAATAAAAAGTGAAACATGACAGGATGGGTAATTCCCTTTAATCCTTAACACTAATCCCATTCTCCTCCTAAATATCTATTATCTTGAGTTGGGTATCTACTCTTCAATTCATTTGTGCATGTTTACACTCATATGCATAAATATGCTGTTTTTATATTGTTTGTAATTTTGCTTTTTTACTCAGCATCATTTTTAAATCCTTCCATGTTGAGATAGGTAGATAGAATGATTGATCAATGGTTGGATTAGTATTGTTAGTTTAGTTTTAATAGAAGTTCAAGAGTCTATCTTATAACTTCATCACAATTTATCCATTCCTTTATTTATAGTTACCTTATAGTAAGTCTCCTACATATAGTCAAGTTCCATTCCAAGAGTGTGTTCTTAAGTCCAACAAAGTTAACCTAGGTATCCAACTAATACAATCTGCTATATAATATATATTTTATATATATGTATATATATATATATATATAAACTGTAATGGGTTTATAATACTTTTCACACAAAAAATACATAAAAAACTAACACAACACACAAATTTTAAATCTTATAGTACAGTAACTTGAAAAGTACAGTAGCACAGACAATAATTGGCATACAGGGGTTGGTATCAAGTGAACAGGCAAGATAAGTTACTAACTGAAGGAGGGAGAGGTAGGAGATGGTAGAGTTGAAGGATCATCAGCAATAGAAGATGGATGGCAAGGTGTAGTTTCACTCACATCTGACATTGATGGCACAGGTTCTTGTTCCTTGCTGGATTCAGTTCTACCTCTTGAAAAAAATGATTCAGTGATGTCTGGGTAGTAGATCTTTTTTTCTCATCATAAATGACACAGTAACACTTGATTGCATTCTGAACAGCTGCTGCCATCTTCATGTACTGTTCTACATTTGGGTCCTGTGCCTTAAAAACTAGCAGTGCCTCCTCAAATAAAATTCCCTTGCCATTTCCTGCACCATGAATCTCTTTAGTTCTTCAGTTACTTCTTCTTCCTCTTGTGTCTCGTTGTCCTTTCTCTGGGCTTCCAATTCCATCAGATCTTCAGTGAAGTTGTCCTCGTGCAGATATAGCTGTAGGTTCTTGCTGAGGGTCATTAGGTTGCTGAAGACCTCTTTGGACTCCTCATTCACCTTCTCAAATCCACAAAAATTGTGAACACACTGTGGGCAAAGGTTCTTCCAACCCCCATTCATAACAGCCATTAAGTCACACCAAGCAAAGTCATTGTTTTTTATGGCCTATCCAGTGACTCCCAGTGTTAGTCACTCAGTTGTGTACATCTCTTTGCAGCCCGATGAACTATAGCCCCCCAGGCTCCTCTGTCCATGGACTTCTCCAAACAAGAATACTGGAGTGGGTATCCATTCCCTTCTCCAGGGGATCTTCCCAACCCAGGGATCGAACCCAGGTCTCCCATAGTGCAGGCAGATTTTCTACTGTCTGAGCTGCCAGGGAAACCCTTATGACCTATAGTCAATGTTTTTTATGTTACAGTCCTTCCAAAATTGTAGCAAGGTTGTTCCTGATTTGCCACTCACCTTTACTGTTTGATGAGAGAAGTCTGACATAAATAATATTTCTTGAAAGTCTCTATAACTCCCTGGTCCTTAGGTTGGATGAGCAATGTAGTGTTTGGTGGCAGATGCACTACTTTGATGTTAGGATGATAGTTGCCCATGAATGGGGAATGGCCTGGAGCATTGTTGAGCAGCAAAACAGTATTGAATGGGACATCCTTCTCCAAGCAAAAGCATCCTGGAAAACAGCCTGTATAACCTAGGCTTTAGGGTTAGTCTTCCACACAACAGGAAGAAAACCCTTGGCTATGTTTTTAAGGGCTCTTGGGTTCTCTGAATAATGAACTGAGAGACTTCAGCTTCGTATCGCTAAAAGTGTTACCCCTAAATAATAGTTATCTTATCCTTTGCTGCTTTTATAGTCTGCCATCAACTTTTCCTCCTCACTGACGTAACTTCAGTTTGACATTCTTTTCCAGTACAGTCCTGTCTCATCCACATTAAAAACCATCTTAGGTAAATACATGCCTTCATCAATAATTTCTCAGAAGCACTTCAGGAAATTCCTGGGTAGCTACCATATCTGCATTCACTGCCTCACCACTTACTTTTACCTTGTGGAAATTGGCTCTAGCCTTGAATTGATGAAACCAGCCATGACTGGCATTTAAAGATGTGCCCAATAGTGGCTCAGACGGTAAAGCGTCTGCCTACAATGCGGGAAACCCGGGTTCGATCCCTGGGTTGGGAAGATACTTTGGAGAAGGAAACGGCAACCCACTCCAGTACTCTTGCCTAGAAAATCCCATGGATGGAGAAGCCTGGTAGGCTACTGCCCATGGGGTCGCAAGAGTCGGACACGACTTAGCGACTTCACTTTCACTGTTTCTTTGCCGTGTTTCTTAAAGTCTTCATAAAGGCTTTTAGCTTTTTCTTGAATCAGCATTAAACTGAGCATTAAACTTAAATCAGCATTAAATCATCATCTTGACACTGATGCTTATCTTGCATTCACACACCAAGAAGTTTCTCTGTCTCTTCCATCACTTTTCCATGCTTCTTTCATATTACTGTTGACATCATCAGCACAGCAGACTTCGTGTTCCATAGCTTTGTCTATTTCCTTTGGATTTGTGCCAATGGTTGAACAATTCATGTTACAAGAACTAGTGATGTCTCCCATCTTTTTGACTCCACTCTCAATTATTTTCACTTTTGTTTCCAACATCATCACTTGGAGCTTCTTAACACCTATATCACCACTGCATTTATGCTTGTTTCTGGACATCCTGGGCTTGAAATAAAGATAATCTACTACCATACCCTCCGCAGTACTATGCAGTACAGGATACAAAAGCACAACCCCTTGCAAGAGGATGCACACACATGACAGTGCACCAGACATGTCAACTAACTTGTGCTTGGACATGAGAATGTACATCCACATCTTTGTAAGTTTGCAACTTGAAGGAGGCTTACTGTAGGTATAGTTTTCATCTGTTAAAAATAATGCTGTGAAGTATATATACATGTTTCCTGTATAATATGTGAGAGTTTCCCTAGCAGATGTTTCCAAAAGTAGAATTGCTGGGTCGTAGGGTGTGTACTATCCAGTTTCTGAAGTAACTTGAACCTGTTAACAATGTAGTCAGTGGTTTGTAAGATTTTCTGTATGCTGGCCAATAGTTGACTAATATCAGAGTTTTAATTAAAATGTCTTTAATTTGAAAGGGGAAAATGGAATGTGATAGTTTTACAGAATCTTTCTAATGCTTTCTGGTTTATTTTCTTTTGTGCCAGGATTAAACTTGCAATAAAAGAGGCAGAAATTCAGAAGCTTCAGGCAAACCTGACTGCAAATCAGTTATCTCACAATCTTACTGCTTGTAATGACTGCCAAGAAGGTCGCAAATTAAATAGTTTAGAAATAGAACCTGTAAAACTAGGTAATCAAGTAGGTGAGTATGTTCAATTCTTTTAATAAATTGTAATTAGAGTTCTCTATGATGGTTTTTTTTTAATGGCTGTATCACAGTGTCATGTGTACTCTTTGTTGTTTTTGCATGTGGGATCTGTTGTTTTCTATTATCAAACATACCTGATAATCTGTTACTACTACTTGGTGTTGATCAGAGAGTAAAAAATTGTTTCAAAATTATTAAATTTTGTATCATTCTTTAAAAATATACTTTTTTAAAGTAAGATTTCCTTACATTTTATGAGGCATCCATCTAAAATATGAAGTGAAATACATTTTGTCAAATGTTTGTTTTTTCATACGTATATACCCTTGTTACCATCACACAGTTAAGACATACAGTAGTCCCTGCCTATCCTCCCAGGATATGTTCTAATACCTCCAGTGAATGCCTGAAGCTACAGATGGTACTGACCCCTATATGTTATGAAGTTTTTTCCTGTACATACAAATGATAAAGTTTAATTTGTAAATTAGGTACAGTAAGAGGTTAACAACAATAACTAACAATAAAATAGAATAATTATAACAGTATACTATAGTAAAAGTTATAGGAATGTGGCCTCTCTGTCTTTCCCTCTATTGTACACTTTAAATGGCTTTTTCATCTTCACACATTGTGGCTGTAACTTCTGCAGTTTGACCTATGATAGCAAAATTAGCACAAATTTCTTTTTCATAATTTCGTGGATAGAAGATTCTTACTATAGCTCTTAGCACCCTCGGCATATAACTTTTTTCTTTCCTTATTAAATCTAGAACTTTCACCTTTTCACTGAAGCACATTACAGCTTCTTTTTGGAATATTTGGATCTCTAGCATTACTACTTTTGCAGTTCAGGACCATTATTAAGTGAAATAAGTATTACTTGAAAACATGCGCCATGATACTGCAGCAGTTGATTTGATAACCTAGTGGACCACTAAGTGGCTAAAAGGCACAATACCAGGACAAAGGGATTATTTACATCCTTGGCAATTTGAAGCTGGATGACAAAGGACAGTGTAAGACTTTGTCATACCACTCAGAATACCACACAGTTTAAAACTTAGGAATTATTTCTGGAATTTTCCATGTATTATATTCAAGCCTCAGTTGACAGCAGGTAACTGAAACCTCAGAATGTGAAACTGAGGATAAAAGAGGACTACTGTATATTTCCTTCAGGTTCCATATATTCCTTCCCAGTTACTTTGGGCTTAATATTCTCTTCCTTTTAAACTTTTCTAAAGTGAAAGCTTAATGACTTTAAATCTTCCTTTTCAAAAGTATTTAAGGGTATAAACTTACTTTTAGGCAGTACTTCAGCTGCATTTTCAGCTAACTAAAATTAGCTGTATAACCTAATTTTAGGTTATGTTTACATTTTATTCAGTTGAAAGTATCTTATAATATCTCCTATGTGTGTTTATTTCCCAGTATTTACTCATTTTCCAGATATCTCTGTTATTAGTGGTGGACATTAGGTTGTTGTCATTAAACAAATGAATTCATGAAAGAACCTGATTTGAATTTTTTAAATGTTTTTTGAAGCTCAGTTTATTGACCAGCATATGGTCTCTCTTGATGAATATTCCTGATTCACTTGAAAAGATTCTGTATTCTGTAATTATTGGGTGAAAAATTTTTTGCAGTTCTTTTGAGATATAGTTGTCATACAGCACTGTGTATAGCATAATGACTTAATTTACATATATTATTAAATGATTTTCACAGTAAATTGGTTAACGTACATCATCTCGTATATATACCAAAAAATAAAAAGGAGAATGTCTTAAAATCTACTCTGTTAACAACTTTCAAATATAAAACAGTATAACCTATTGTCATTGTGTTGTACATTAGGACCAGCTTTTATTTTTAACATACTTGGTTCTTAACCAGTAACTAGCATGAAGAAACCACTGTATAGAAGAAAACTTGCAGTATTTGTAATACCATTAAGTATCCTACATACAAACCCTCATGCTGCAAACTTTCAAAGATGCAAGCTTGCGTTCGCATGTCCAACCATATAAATTAGTTCACATGTCTGGCGTACATTATCACACGTGTGCATCCTCTACAAGTGGCTGTGCTTTTGTGTCCTTTACATTATAGAGTACAGTATCTTTCTTTCAAGCCCAAGATGTCCAGAAGTAAGCATAAAAGCAGTGGTGATGTACTGCTAACAGGTACCAGCTGTTATACTGTACCACTGTACTTTCCAAAGTCCTGTACTGTATAAGTTTTAAAATGTTTGTTTTTTTGTGTTTGTTTTCTTTTAAGTATTTGTTTGAAAAACAGCTGATCACAGCTGCCTTTGTTGGACTTACAAATGTGCTCTCAGAATGGAACTCATTTATATGTAGGGGACTTACTGTGATAGCAGATCAGTTGAATTCCTTATATATGATTATCTAGATTATTAAGTAGTCTTTTTAAGACTCTCTTCATTTTATTTATTTGTTGCTTTAAAAATTTTGAATATTGCCCCTTTCTTCTTCCTTTCTTTTTTCCTTCTGTCTTTATTGTAAAGTAAATGTAATTGACCTGCAACATTGTGTTAGTTCAAGCTGTACAACATAATGATTGGACATTACAAAATCACCCTGATAAGTCTAGTTACCATTTGATGCCATATAATGTTACTAGAATATTATTGACTGTATTGTCCATACTGTACCTTTTATCTCCATGATTCATTTATTTTGTAACCAAGTTTGTACCTCTTAGTCTCTCTCACCTGTTTCACTTATCTCCTTCCCTTTCCCCCTTCCCAGCTGCCACCACCAGGTTGTTCTCTGTATGTATGAGTCTGTTTCTTTTTTGTTATGTTTGTTCATTTGTTTTGTTTTTTAGATTCCATATGTAAATTTTATATGAATGAAATAATATAGTATTTGTTTTTCCTCTGTCTAGCTTATTTTACTTATCATAATACCCTCTAGATCAATCCATGCTGTTGCAAATAATCAGGATTTCACTCTGTTTTATAACTGATTAATATTCTATTTTATAAATACGTTCTGTATATACACCTTCTTTATCCATTCATCAATTGATGAACACTTAGGTTGCTACCATATCTGGGCTGTTGTAAAATACACTGCAATGAATATAGGAGTACAGATATATTTTCTAACTAGTATTTTATTTTCTTCAGAAGTATATCCAAAAGTGGTATTACTGGGTCATATGGTGGTTTTAAAAATAAAAAAAGGCACCCCCGTACTGTTTCCCACAGTGTCTCTACCAATTTATATTCTCTCTAGCAGTGCACTAAAAGTACACTTCTCTCCACATTCTTGTTCACAGTTGTTATTTGTTGTGTTTTTGATAGTAACCATTCTGTTAGGTTTGAGGTGGTTCATTGTGGTTTTGATTTGTATTTCCCTGATGATAGGTGTTGTTGAGCATCTTCTCTTGTGCCTGTTGGCATCTGTCTATTCATGTCCTCTGCCTGTCTTTAAAATCAGGATGTCTGTTTTGGTGATATTGAGCTGTGTGAGTTCTTTGTATATTTTGGATATTAACCCCTTATCAGATTATATCATTTGCAAATATCTCCTCCTCTTCAGTAGGGTGCCTCATTTTGTTGATAATTTCATTCATTGTGCAAAAGCATTTTAGTTTGATGTAGTCCTACTTGTTTATTATTGCTCTTGTTTTCCTTGCCTGAGGAGACTAGATCCCCAAAATACTGCTAAGACTGATGTCAGAGAGCTTACTGCCTATGTTTTCTTCTAGAAATACTATGATTTCAGATCTTATCTTTGTCTTTACTCCATTGTGAGTTTATGTTGTATGTGGTTTAAGAAAGTAGCCCATTTAGGTTCTTTTGCATATCTCTGTCCATTTATTAGAGGGGCTATCTTTTCCCCGTTGTATATTCTTGCTTCTTTGCCATAGATTAATTGAACATAAAATGCAAAATTATTTCTGGGCTATCTACTTTGTTCCATTGAACTATGTGTCTGGTTTTGTGCCAGTGCCATACCATTTTGATTACTGTAGATCTCTAGAATAGTTTCAAATCATAGAGCATGATACTCTGAGCTTTGTTCTTTCTTTAGACTGTTTTGGCTGTTTGGGATTTTTTTGTGTTTCCATACAGATTTTCTTTCAGATAATATCCAGAAGTGGAATTGCTAGATCTCATGGTAGTTCTGTTTTTAATTTTTTGAGGAACTGCCATACTCTTCTTCATAGTTACTGCGCCAGTTTACATTCCCACCAGCAGTATACAGGGTTCATTTTTCCCAACATCCTCACCAATAGTTGTTATAGCTTGTCTTTTTGATACAGCCTTTCTAACAGCTGTCAAGTGATAGCTTACTGTGAGTTTTTTCCTAATTTTTTTATTTAATCTTTTTCCCATTCTTATTCAAATTCTTTTCCTATTTAGGATATTACAGAATATTGAGTAGAGTTCCTTGTGCTATATAGTAGGTTCTTGTTGGCTATTTTTTTTAATTGAAGCATAATAGTTAATTTACAGTGTTGTATCAATCTCTGCTGTAGGCAGAGTGACTCAGTTATACACAAATATACATTCTTTTTTATATTCTTTTTCATTATGGTTTATCACAAGATAAACTATACTGAATATAGTTCCCTGTACTATTCAAATTAGAATCTTGTTGTTATGTTATTGTAGTTTTGATTTAGATTTTCATGATGCTTAGTGTTGTTTGTACCTATTGGCCATTGGTGTCTTCTCTAGAAAAATGTCTGTTCAGATTCTCTGCCTTTATTTTTGGTGTTGAGTTGTGATTTTTTTAAATAGGTTCAGAATATTAACCCTTCATCATATACATGATTTGTAAATATTTTCTCCCATTCCCTAAGTTGACTTTTCATTTTGTTGATGGTTTCCTTTGCTATATAGGAACTTTTTAGTTTGATATAGTCCTGCTCATTTGGTTTTGCTTTAGATGTAAAATGCAAAAAAAAGAAAAAACACCAAAAGACAGCTACTGCTGAGACTGATGTCTAAT